CATATAAAATGTCTAAACACAAAACTGTAAATAAAAAATAAGATCATTTTGGTTTTAAGTTGACTGAAACACCAGTTTCCAGAATGCATACAATTTGTGTCCCCTTATTACTAATAAATAGAAAACATTAAGCATTTAACTATAAATAGACTCTGTTCTGTCCTTATTCTTAACACTGACAGGGGCCCATTGCAATACACTTGTAATGCTAATTTATGTAGCTAAATCTTTCTTCAACAGTTTACAAGGCTTCTGCTCCATAAAGCCAAACTAAAATTAATACAACCCGTTCGCCAATCGCTGCAAATCAACAACACATTTGTCACTTAGCCAGAAAAATGACTTCTGAAAATAGTCAATTAATTTTAAAACACTTCTCAGTTACTCCACGTTGTACTTTCTCAAGCTTTGCTATGATGTACAAGTGACCAACACTCTTCAGCAGAAAAAAGAAAAATGACTCATGCATTTCTGACATTTCAACACACATCTGCGTATGAAAACATGTGGAGCGTTACTTTCTGAGTGACACTTAGAAGCATTATGATTCTTTAGTTATCCAGCATCACAAGGGACAAAGTTGTACTGCATCATAACAAAAATACGCGAACGTAATGCCAGTAAAATTCACAGTTTCATGTTTGGATTAAGAGCGCACAACTGCTTCTGAACAGGTGCAGGATCAATCTGAGCAACTGCTGTGCCCTCTCTGTCCCGTAAGAAATCAACTGAAACCATTGAACAGTTGCGCAGCAATATTCGACTTTATTTCTAATCAAGTTCTGTAGACACAAACAGCTGCTCATTCTGATGTCCAAAGTTTGAGCAATGCTGTACACATGGGCTGAAAGAAGGGCGAATTTTGCATTAGACCAGCTGACTCCGATAAAGGGAATGCACTGGTATTTTTACTCTTCTGAAACTTTTATACAGGGAGGCAATTTTAATAAGGACAACCCTTTCCCACAAAGGTTCTTCGAGTTTGCTTATATAAGGAGAAAGCAAACACGCCTAATGTGTAATTTTATCTCAATTTGTTTTCCCTTCTGGATTTTGGATTTCTCAATGCTAGTCACCAAGGGAGTGAAAACATTTCTGGAAAGTTTGTGGCTTAAAGTTGCAATGACGGAATTAAACATCTTACTCTCATAATATAAAGGCAGATTACATTAGAGTTCATGAATTTTTCAGGCAAGGTGAACTAATTAGGCCCAAAATGATTATGCACAAGCCAGTTTTAAGCAAATATTCTTAATTTATCATGAAAATGGGACATTACAGGTCCATTGTGATATAAGCTATATTGGGCGGAAAAAGTTGTCATTTTTTTTCTGCACCAAATAACAAATATAACCTTCCCAGCAGAAATAACACAATCTTTCATGTTTATCCACAAAAACCTTACTGGCAATTATTTTTAAGTGTCCACCGGTGTAGAAATAAGGGATGTTGCCGGTGCAGAGAGAGAGAGAGAGAGACGGGCTGACTGGTCCTTTCTTATTGGAGCTGGCTTGTTAGTTCTCCTCCAGTGATGATGGAAGAATGGTGGTAACGGTCGCGTGACGCGAAGTCGGCATTCTCCTCGGTCAGCTGCTGAGTCTCCATGCCAACAGCTGCAAATGAGGGAGTCACAACAATCTGATCCTGTGGGGCTGGTCCCCGCCTGAAAGCAGAAGAGCACACCCAGGACTCTCTGGATTAACAAAGAATTACTGAGCCCACCGAGACACTACACATTGGAATTTTAAACACCAATGATACAGTTACTTGCCTCTCTCCGCATTGATTTCCTGGTGCGTTCCTTAATCTACTGTATTTATGCTATGTTAACAGATACAGCTATCAACAAGGTCTTTATATGGGTATTTTATCCCCCCCCGATGTAAAATAACATGTTAGATAAAGATTGTTTTGTCTCATATTAACCATTCCCAACAGTTAACTGATTAGACAAGGAGTTCCACTCGCCAGCGATGCCAAACAAAAGTAAAATCAGACTGGTTGCATCTGGTCTTCTTCCATGCAGTGCTGGTGTAACCTCTTGCCAAAACAAAAGCAACTTGCAACCTTCACTAGGCCTTAGGTCCACATGGCCAGCTTTCCTTTCAATGGCCTGTCAGCTTGCCTCAGCCCAGCTTTCACAAACTAATGAAGTGTGAAGAGGGCTTAGTCTCCAGCCCTCTTCTGTCCTGGGTCTCTTTTGAGGAAAGCCACAGGCCATGCCAGAAGGCCAACAGTGTTACACTGATCTGAACTACTAGTTCACAGAGAGCCATGTGCTTTGGAATGCTAGCAGGGTCACCCTAACTAGATCGTGTGCTGTACTTCAGTCAGTTGCACTTTGAGCTGGACAAATATCACCTGAAGCATTATAATATGTTTTGCTATTGCCCTTTGAATTAAGGCTTAAAAGGCATTACGGACCAGATCTTTATTTATACCACACATCGGTACAATGCTTTCTGCTTTTGGCGATTCAGCAGAAAATGCTGGACCAGAGCTAAAGCAGACATTTATCCACAGCACAAGTAAATAACTCTGTGGCTAACACACCTGCCCATAGTCTTCAGAGAAGATTGTAGCCATTTGAAGAAACTAAAGTTAGCAGATACTCCTGTTGAGACAAAGCAGAATTATTTTAGATTTAAATAACGTGAACAAATGAACAATCTACTGCCAGCTTTGCATTCCATATTTTTAGCAAGATAGTTTAAATATCAAACATATTCAAAGACTAAGATTAATCATATATTTTATACAATTTAACAATTATTTCTATGCACAAGCTCAACATTTAAAATAAGAGATTTTTTACACTCCAGTATTCTTCGTGTTACAGAAATCAGATTGTGTAAATCAGACTGTGAACTGTGACATGGTGAAGAGAGATACTTTATCACTGAGTTCTGCAAAATATGGGAAGAGCATTCCAAGCGCAACAGCTGCTTGGTGGTATAATGCCTATGCTAAAACATGCAGGAATGTCTCAAAGTTGTTTTAGAGAAGCTTATAAAGGTCGCATTCAGAAAAAGCCTATTTCTTTGGCATCTAAAAAGAGACTTTGTTTTGGAATTATTCCAACTCAATCTGATCTTTTTACACTCATGACATTTTGATCCATCTTAAATTACAAAGTAAATATGCAAGACAATCTTCTAATTTTTCAGAAAAAACTAACATGTCACACTTGTGGAATATTTATTTTGTACTGAAAAGCATAGTCATATTTCACTAGGACTAAATACAAGCATTAGCACTTCAAAACTAATATATTTATTAAATACAAAAGTGCCTTAGTAAGTAATAGGACATCTTTTGACTTTAAAAAGTCAAAAATAAATATACTTAGTGCAAAAAAAGGAAAGACATCACATCTATCTCTATTTGAAAAAACAGTATGTATTTGTGGCATCACAAAGGGACCCAAAATTGGGTCCTGGTGAACACCAATGGTGACCTTATGGAAATGGAGATTAAAGAAGCTCATTGAAATAAGTACCAGTTGAACTCACATCAGTACTCTCAGCAGATTGGTGATATTATTCGGTGAAACAAACAGATTTAAAATTACCATCTTAAATCTGTTCCTGCTGAAATTATCTGTTATTGGTGACAATGTCAATTGATTTTAAATACAAACACTCAATGTATGGCCCATGGATTAAAAAGTGCAACATATTTCTTTATATATTTACCTGTTGGCAGACCTGGATTTGCTTGGCCAATGTAGAAATAAAGGACAGTTGCCATAGCGATGTTTGCAATAGCATAGATCCACTGTATTACAAACATGATCGCAACTGAGCATATTGCCTAAAAAAATAAAGTTAGTTGTTACAAAAGACAAGTTAAAATATTTATGTTTAGATAGACCCAAAACCTTTATATAAATATGTTGAAGAAATACGATTTCATAGACATTCACCAGGACAGGCAGACTAAAAACAGATGTAAGGACATTTCCTGCCATTCCACTTTGGCGTTGCCACTGTAGGAAGAGCTCATCAGAGGTTATTTTAAAAGTGTCTTTTTATTATTTGTGAAAATTCCTAGAACATTATATAATTTATATCAGAGATACATCTACACCTCACCCTAGAAGATTTGTGAAATCTAGCCAGTCTGCCCCGTGACTCCCGTGCACACGATACATTCTTTGCTATCTTAGGAAGGTTTGTAGAACTTCAAAGAATATTTTCTATTAAGGAAGACCAGTCCTGGAGGACCTGTGTCTCTACAGTGCTGGTGTCCAGTCCTGGAGGACCTGTGTGTTTACATGTGTTTCTAAACTAGTGGGCATCGTATTTGCTTCATTAATACAAAATAAAGGTGTCTTTTTGCATTCCTCTCACTCCTCGACTTACACCAATAAGGGAAACCCAGTGGTTACAGAGTCTTGTGTGAAGAGAGGTTGGCAGTTGTTGAATTTCAGCCCCTTGAAGTTTTTGTTTTTCAGTTAAACCTGTTGAAGAAAGATTAGAAGTCATTAACATGAAGTCCATTAATGTCCTGAACACTACATATTTGAACAATAACAGTCTAACAGGGTTTCAGGGGTTGCCAGTATGCTTGATTCTGAATGCAATGATGAGAATCGCAGGATGTCACAGAGGAGAAATTCACCTAAACTGTTTTTAATTTGTAACAGAGCACTCCAGTATATTATTTTCTATAAGTGTCTCAGATCAGCATTTTCTGCACAAAATGCAGTGAATTGTGAATTCTGCACAAAGGAATTTCAGGGATTTTTGCGTTAATAAGCGAGCCTCTTTTCTCACTTGATCGGACTGCTGGGAGGGTGTCAGGAATGTTTTACACATCTTAGAGAAGCTGTGGCCAAAGGCAAGATTTTATTTCAATTGCCGAGACAAAATTTATGAACATAGTGGGGAAAAAGTCCTTAATTTTACATGCATGATTATTATCATCACCTGACTGACAAGTGTATCCGAAGTGACTCACTTGGGTGATAACTATTTTCTGATACAGATTTTGATAACCATGGGTATAGCTGGTTTTGCTTGGGCAATCTGGGTAAAATCACTCATGGGTACTGCAGTCTGACAAAGGACGTTAGGAGTAGCCTTTTTAAGGGAGTGGACAATGGGATCTGAACTCGGAACTCAATCAAAACTTTGCACCACACACTACAGATCATTTTTGTTTCTAATAATATAAGATCACTTTATTAGCCCTATACAATTTCTCGCATTAGGAATTCATCTTTTCGCATAC